TGCTCAGCAGGGAGCCTACTTCCCTTTCTACCTACTTGTGATCTCTGTCTGTCGGGTAAATAAATAAAATCTTAATAAAAAAACAAAAACCAAAACCAAAAATCAGCAAAATCTGAATAAAGAGTGGACTTTAATTAATAGAAGTAAATAGAATCACATCAACTGCTCCAAAGAGATCTTAGAATATCTCACCTTGTATAGTTGAAAGAACACCAGCTTGGGTGTTGGAAACCTTGGCACTTAGGTCTCTCTGCCATTTGGTAGCAGTATGACCATTAAGCAAAACATAACTCCGGTCTTTAGGTCCCATGTCTATTAGATTGGGCTAGTAAAAACTGATATTTTACTTCCTTCACAGTATTGTTGGAAGATCCAAATGAATAATGAATGTAAAATGCTTTAGAAAGCATTATAAAGTACTATATGCTAAAAGATGGGTTTGGTTAGTTCTTCTCACTTCTAAGACCAAAACTTAAAGGGTCAGACATCAGAAACAAAATTGTTTTCTCTTCATATCTAAGATGTTTGGAAATTCTAAACTAAAGCTTTGCTTGTAAGGGAAAAAAGTGAGTAAATGTTCATTGTTGATACCAGGGAAGTTTTGTTATATAACAGGAAGAAGAAGAATACTGCTGAGGTTTATTGAGTACTTACTGTGTGCCCGGCCTTTTTAAACACTCAATCCTCATTAACAACTCCATGAAGTAGTAGGTACTATTGTTTATCCCAGTTTTAGCGCCAAAGGAACTGAACCACAGAGACGTTAAGGAACTTACGGTCAGACAACTAGTAGAGTGAATCTGTCTCAGCACTACCGTTCACGACACATGAAGTATAGGGGTCTGGCGAGGTGAGGAAGAGGTTGAGAATGTTGGCGACAACACTCTGAGGGATCTAGGCATGTCAGACCAAGATCTGTTATTTAGAAAAGTTAAGTCATCTAGGCCTTAGGGTTCAGTTGTGTTATTCCTGGAAAATGTTTTCCACTTTTCTGCAAATCTATATCTGACCTGCTGAGGAAATCGTTTGGTGAAATGGATCCAGAAAGTAGAGACAATGCTTCATTACTTTAAATAGCACTAAGCCCATTATAGCCTCTGAATTGTCCCTTCTTGGAGTTCGCTAATGCTTCCAGCTTAGTCATTTGGAGCACAAGAATATGATTTTATAAGCCCCAACGGATAATCCTTGTCTATTACAGGCTGTATAATTATCTATCTGTTTTAGACTATATATTACAAAACTTAAAACATAAGATCCTATCCACATTGGTCATGATTAAACCAACTTTGTGCTGTGTTTTGTGACACTATTTTCTAGAATTCTTCTACGGATCTAATCAAATAAAGACTTCTTAAACCCAGTTCTACTGAATCCATATTTTTCTGTTCAAATAAAGGGGAACCAGGCAAAAATACCAGTTTTTTTTTTTCCACTTCCCTTTCTGAGAGACAAGAAAGAGAAGGAACGATCTATAGGTGTAATTGGGAAAGTGGACTTGTCCAGGTACCTCATTCTTAGTCTGCACGCTCCGTGACGTATAGATCTGGTGTCTGCATACTTAGGCTCTTGGAGTCAAAGCTCAGCATGTTTGTTTTGTTGTTTTAGGTGGTCCGGTCTTTCTTAAATGGTCTTGGCTTCTTCCAGTACTAATTAATTGATACGTGATATATTGTGGGTACAACCAGGTATGGTTCGTTACTTATAAGGAATAACTAAGTATATATTCACTGCTCTTTATCAGGGGATCAAGAATTCTTTGTTTCATTCTGCTTTTTTTGTGAGTAAGGCTAAGTTACTTCACTGAATTTGAGGCTCTCAGTTTTAGGTTGTGTGTTTCTTGACTGTAGTAGTCTCTATTGTGAGATGCAGTATGGTTAGATAGAAAGGAAACCAAGAGACCTAGTTCTAAAATGAGCTTTGCCAGGGCACCCGGGTGGCTCAGTGGGTTAAAGCCTCTACCTTTGGCTCAGGTCATGATCCCAGGGTCCTGGGATCGAGCCCTGCATTGGGCTCTCTGCTCAGCGGGGAGCCTGGTTCCCTTCCTCTCTCTGCCTGCCTCTCTGCCTACTTGTTATCTGTCAAATAAATAATAAAAAGAAAATCTTAAAAAAAAAAAAAGAATAAAATGAGCTTTGCCACCTGCTCGTGTTGGGACATTGGGTGGGTTATATGCCCCTTGGCTCTTCAGTGGAAACATAGAAATAATGATGTCTTCTGCACAAAGTTGTAAAATCAAATGATAAAACATAAGTGAAAGTGTTTTTAAGTTATGCAGTGCTGTGTACAGGCAGCTATCAGTTGTCTTTCTGAAGGAACTCTGAAATAGAGGGAAACACTATTGTATTGTATTTAATAGTACGATTAAAGGCTTTGGGGCACCTGGCTTGCTCAGTTGGTTAAGCATCTGACTCTTGATTAGAGCTCAGACATGGTCTCAAGGTTGTGGGATCAAGCCCCATGTTGGGCTCTGTGCTCAGTGGGGCATCTTGCCGGAGGTTCTCTCCCTCTGCCTTACCAACCCCCTCAAATAAATAAGTCTAAAAAAAAAAAAAAGTACAGACTTTATAGTCAACTGGCCTGGGTTTAACATTCAACTCTGCTACTTGGAGCCACCTTCTTGGCAGGTGTCTTGTTCACTTACCTTCTCTTTAAAACAGAATTCTTCACAGAGTCAGTACAAGGATTAAGTAACCTAATTACATACTTATGCAGTGTGTGAGTGTAGTAAATATTCAATAAATGATAGTTTGTCATTTATTGATGACAGTTGTGATGGTGATGATAAGAAGTCAGATTTGAAATCACTAATCAGATTCTGGCTCAGTGTTTCTTAAACTAAGGAGAATACAGCTGTGGGAACACAGGGAAATGATAAATTTCAGTCTGTGTACCTTGATCCTCTAAAATCAATTGCCCCAAGCTTTATTTTTTGTTACAGCCCTCAGAGAAGTGACTGTCTCTGTCCCTGTTCTAAATCAAGTGGCATATGTCATCTCTCTGGGAATGCTTGTTTATGAGACCCTTCCTACTTCCGGAGTGCCCCTAGGGAAATTTGATTAAAAGATTGAAAGTGGGTGATTATTTTAAGCTTTGCCATGTCTTGTTCATGACCATAAGCTGGTACTTCTGAGGCTGTAAAGGGAGACAAGATGAAAAATAAAATAATTTCTCACTTCTCTTCATTTTAACAACAGCACAACTAAAGATTTAGTAAAAACAAAATGTGCTTGTAAAAGAAGTGTCTCCAGTCCTGCCATGCCTGTTCCCTCCTGAGCCACACTGGGCAAGTCCCTTTCGAAGCATGTAGCATTTTCCCTGCCCAAGTGAGGAGCCCTTTTCCTACCATAATGGCTCTTACTGACTCTCAGCAAAATCACTTACGGTGTTAATTCCCAATCCTTCAGGAATCTTTAAATAATTCCTTCAACTTGAGCTTCACGGGAAAGACCCAATACATTGTACTGGCATACCAGCCTGAAATTGCCTGTGGCGTCATGCCAACATCTAGGACAGCTGCTCTGTTATTAGACATAGCAACAGACTTTAGCACTATGGAGATCATGAACAAATCATACTAGCATCCGGTATGAATTCTGTATTTCATTTCTTCAGAGAAGCCATTTGTCTCTGCAGTTACTGCTCTAACTAAAATCAGTGCTCAGTCCTGCCTTCCAAAAACTCATACCCCAGCTGTTGGCTTTAAGAGAAGGAATCTTGAAAGGCTTGAGTTTTTGATAGTCAAGTTAAGGGTATCCTTAATTTAGCAGAAGGCCCGGCAAAAGGGTGCCAGGGGATTCCCACTGTAATGCTCAGGTTACCCCTTTTGAAATAAAGCACCACGGATGGCATAACTTCAGTTGAAGGTCAGACAGTAAGGATCCTTAACCTCTATTCTGCACTGACTTCTCAGATGATGCAGGTGCTTGGAAAATAGTTATGGGGACGCCACAGGAAAGGGATCTCCCCCCTCAGCATTGGGGTTCATAAGCGGTGTGTCCAGTTTGGAGAACTGCCCCTTCTGGGCTTCAATGAGGAAAGGAAAATGTTCCAACTAGTGATCCAAGAAGGAGAGGTGAAGTGAGCAGTTTCCAGCAAGAGGTTTGTGAGGCAAAGTGACAGGGCAGTGGCTTCTCAGCAGGTGTCTTTCCAGAACATGATAGGACCTGGCCTTGGTGTTATTTGTGCCTTTGGAGTCTGCCTGTACTTGCTGAAGAATCTGGGGTACTGTCTTTACAAAGCCATTTGGCAGAACCCTGTTCTCACAGAGAAGGGCTGTCCTGTTGGCAGGTTATGAACAATTGGGTGGTCTAAAGGGAGGCCCTCTTCATTTCAACCCTCATGGAAGAAAAAGTGAAATCAGTCATTCATGCCTACGCTGGTCTGTCTTGTGCCTGGATCTGGGAACATGTGAGTTTGAGAAAGACAAGGGTAGCATGGAACTGTGAAAAGGAGGGAGTCAGTCCTGCTAAGGATCAAAAACAAATGTGACTCAGCAAGGTGATCAGGGAAATAAGTACTCTTTGTGTTCCCAGGAGCCACACCCTCCACACCCTTGCTGTCGGTTAAAGTTGACCAAATTTGTGTCCCAGCAACGTCTCCAAGTGCAGGTAATGCTTGGCTGGCCCAGTACCTGCAGTGATAGTGACATCTTCCTGACTGAAGTCCTCTACCCAGCCTCCCAGTACTCTCCACTGAAAGGCTTGCTCTCTTTTCCTCCCCTTTACCTCTCATTACCTGCCCCCCCCCCCCGCACCGCTGCCCCTGCCTCTGTTCTGCAGGAGCCATTAAGCAATAATAGAATTCATACTTCCTGCAACTCCACCTGCCACCACAGACCCTGGCCAGAGCCTGCTCTCGACAGTCATCAGGGTGTCACCCGGATCAGAGCCTTCCTCTGTCAAGCCTTTGTGCGCTGCCAGCTCTCTGTCCAACCTGCAGTTTTGTGTTACCCCTCTACCCTCCATCGAGGAAGAAGACACAGGAAGCCTGGCCGTTTGCATACCTGCCCTTTATTGGACACAGCTAGCAGCCTGGCTCTAAGCCCTTCACATTTCTCAGACACCACCCATAAGGTTTAGGAAGGTGCCATCATTCTGTGAAGGCCCAGAGCCAGCCAAATCTTGGAGCTCCAAGTAGAATCACCAAGGAGAAGGTTGGGGGAGGGAAGGGAGACAGGTGGCCTGGAAGGGCAAGGCTCTTCAAGAGGCAGCTTTTGCCCAGCAGTGCCTCCTGCGGGCACACTGAAGCCTCAGGAAAGATACCAGGGGCGGGATGGGGTAGATCTGTGTGCTGAGCAGCTCCTGTCTATATGGCAACTTTGAGGAGACGCTTGATGTCAGGCTCAATGTTGATGGTAGGGAAGGTACGGCTGTAGCGGCGGAAGGGCTCCCCCTCTGGCCCAATAAGGAACTTCTCAAAGTTCCAGGCCACGTCAGAGCGGCGCACCGGGCTCCAAATGATGAACTTGGGGTCGGTCATGAGGGAAAATGGGTCATCATAAGGGTAGGGGAGCTTGTCCTTCAGGTAGGCGAAGACAGGATGCTCGTTCTGACCATTCACCTCACACTTTTGGACAAGAGTAAAAGTGGGCTGGAATCCACCCCCGGGGCGGACATACTTGAGACTGTTCAGGATCTCCTCATTCTGACAGTTCTCCTGGGGGAGGAAAAAGACAAAGAGCATGGAAGAGGGAAGGGGGAAATAAAAGATCCACGAAAACCTTTCACCCTCCTATAGTCCCTTCCCAGGGCCATACTTTTCTGTGTAGCTCCCCTGCGTCCCCTGTTCTTTTTCCTCCTTCCCTAGCTTTGCCCTTCTCTTGACTTGGAGATTCCCCATTCAGAGCTATTGTTTGATGGTTTTCGAGGCCATTCCTGAAAATTCTTGCAGTTCCTAGCTTGGCTGTTCTTACAGTGAATGATTTAGCAATTTTGAACTGCTGCTTCTCTCTCTAAACTACCTTGAACAGTTCTAGGATATCTGTCTGAAACTTCAAGGTACCTTGAGTTCAGGGCAGTAGAAAGAAAGGAAAAAAGAGGCTCAGGTGATGCCATCTAGAACCCTCACTCCGCCCCCCCCCCCCCGACACTCTCACACACACACTCACACACACGTCCAGGCAAACCTTCCCCTTCCCTCTGCTCTGATTTTGCCTCTGTTGTTTCTGATTACATGTGAGTGTTGAGTATAGCCTCTGCCTTTCATCTTGCCTTTTCCTTGATCTGAAGTGTAAGTGGGAGGAAACTTTCATGAAGAAAGGCCCCATCCAAAGAAGTCTAGCTTTCAGGTGCTACAAAGGCAAAGTAAATTAGAGATGACAGTGGATGTATGCTAAACGGAATTGCTTAGTGACCGGCAGGGATGATTTAACAGGATAGAGTGTTTAGGATTCTGAAATAGGCCAAGGGAAGGAAAGCTAAGTGTGTACTTGAGTACTACCATTGTGAATGTGTAGTTAGCATTCCTTTTACTTCCAGACTGCTCTCCCAAGACTCCTCACACTCACTCACTAGACTCAGCTGTGAGGACTTTAGCTCTGAGCCTGTTACCTGTGTTTCCCTCCCCCTTGCCATCCCTGTCCTATCCCTACTTGGCATTCTCCACCCCTGAGAACCCCAAAAGGCCCATGGAAACCCTTATTTTCCACCCCTTCCCCAGGTCTAAGAGTCAGATTTCTCCTTGTGGGAGAAAGTTCTTGCCTCTTACATACTAGAACCAATCAGTACAGTCAGTTCCAGGCCATCAAGACATCTTGAGCCCAAAGGTGATCTCTATTAGACTCCTTATCTCTTAATGCAGATGGCCAGCAGGCTACCGATAGGTTACAAATTCCCTCCAGCCACTAGCTAGCCTGATGGTGGAAGGGTGGAGACACCTCTGGGGTGGAAGAGACACCCCTCAAATGGTTTCACCCTTTCTCTCTCCAGGGCTGGCCAAGCCTAGAAACAGACTGAGATAGGGAAGCAAGAGTGACAGCAGTGACGGTCTGGACTCCGGTTTGTCACAGCCAACGACACTTCAACTTTCCCGCTGTGTATCTGCCTATCAGTTCCTTGCCATCAAGCCACTGTGAATTGAACTGAGGGGGTTATAATTCGAGGGTTCACTTGAGGACATTCTGTCTGCTGGTGCTGTTAAAATAATAAGTGAATATAGAAGAATCCCTGAAAGAGAACTTGAGGTATGTGGGCTGAAGATCTAGAACTTAACCCGGTAATCAGAGACAGAGATTTGATCCCTGTGTGGAACACACACACACACACACACACACACACACACACACACACCCCCCCCCCCAAAAAAAAGGGAAAGAAAAAAATCAGAGACAGGTGCACATGACACCCAGAGGAGACCCGTGCGCATTGAGCACCCTGAGCTTTCCACCAAAATCACTCTCCCCTTGGCTGATTTAAAACAAGAGTCCTTTGACCTAAATAATACAGTTGCATTTGCTTTCACTTGCATATCACTTTATATTTTCCAAGGTTTTTTTTGGTATATCTTACCCTCTGAACCTCACAATTATCCTGTGAGATAAGTGGCATTATCCCATTTACAGATGAGGAAACTAAAACAGATAAATCAAGTGACTCTTGCATGGGCACAGAGCCACGGAAGAGCAGAACAGAACCATGTCTAGCTGCAACTAAGGTCTCCTGGGTCAGTTCAATCCTAGTGTGAGTGTTGATCTTCTATTTCCTTCCACTCATCCTCTCAGCAGGTATTTAACAAGTGCATTCTCCACCGTGGAGAGAAAAGCAGACGCAGTACCAGCCCTCCTGGAGCATAATGGGAAGACAATAAACAACAAAACCCCACCCTCTGTACTGAAGCCCAGACAGTTAGAACCCCATGTACTTCCCCTTGGTATTCACCTGTATCCAAAGACCTAGATTAACAAATAACTCCAATTCCAGACTCTCCGACACACACAGTCACTCTCCATCCCCCCTTAGCCTACCAAAGCTTCAGCACCCCAACTCCTTGGGTACATTACAAGGCACCCCTCACCTGATGTCCAAATTGGTTGCAAGGGAAGCCAAGAACCACCAGGCGCCTGGGGAAGCGGCATTGCAACTCGTTGAGCTGGGTGAAGTCCCGGGTGGTCGTGCCTCAGAGCGAGGCCACGTTCTCAATCAGCACGGCCCTGCCTCGGAACGTGTTGAAATCTACCTTCTCCCCGTCCAGGCTGACGGCACTGAGGTCGTAGAAGGACTTGGCTATGTAGGCCATGGTGAAGGGGCAGAGTGAGGCGTGCAGAGTGGCGGCAGAGTGGTGGCAGCCCACTTCAGGGACTGTTATAGGGCTGGGGAGGAAGGAGGAGCCTGGAAGGACAGGAAAGATTTCACAATGGGGCTTTGAGCATCCCCAGGATGACTTAGCAAAAAAAACGGTCACCCACCTGGAGGTGCTGTTTCAACAGGGAAGTGGCTCCTCCTGTTTACAGACTCTGAAAAAAGCCGCCTACCTGCCCCACCCTGCTGGCAACCCGGGAAGGGCCAATTTGATATCTATGTACAAACATGAATAATTCACTCCTTGCAGGAAACTAGAGCCCCAAAGGTCAAATGGGGAGGAAAAAAGGGAGGGAGGGATGCAAGATTGACTCCGACCTGCCCCAGCAAGTCGTTCTCGCTTGGCACAGACACGTATTGTCGGCTGAAGGCCAAGCCGTGAACTGCGCCACTGAGAGGTCAGGGCCTGCCAAGATCTGAAAGATGAGGAAGAGAACTGGGGGGCATGTCCCCTTAACTCAGACCACAACCAAAATATACATATGACGGGCACCGACGCCCACACCGTGTCCTCCACTCTGCCTCCATGGGCTCGTGAGGAGGCCATCAGTCGTGGCCGGGTGATGATGAGGAGCCACAGAGCTGGTGAGTGACCCCCAGGGCACGAGCTACACCTGCCTCCTCTTAGACAAAGGCTCAGTCCCCAAGACTTCTCCCGACAGGCTTGCGCTGCTTCTCCTCCCCACCCCACCCCAGAAGGGAACATGCAGGGAGTCAAAGCTGCGATGGTTCTAAGCCCAGCTGACCTGCCCAGGTTTTCAGCACCAGCGGTGCAGCATACTGTGGCCCATCTGAGGACCCAAGGGAAGGCCTAGTGCTTCACTTCATTATTCCAAGCACCCAGCAGCTCAAATAAATCCGATTAAAAAAAAAAAAAAAAGAAGTCTGGATTTCTCCATCAGGAAGACTGGCGATTAGCCCTGACCTGGCTCTGGGACTTTTGGGAGTGTTATTTCCATGACAATACAGGTGTTCACTAGAGAGTGTTTTCACAGGTACGCGTCCATTGGGAACTGTCTTCTAGAACCAAGAATAAGCAAGGCTTGGGAGCAGCTGGTATTGAGAATCTGATTTGCTGAGAAGATGGAGGAACTACTCACCAGGGAGTGCCCAGCTGTTCTGTCTTCTGTAGCACGTTCCATGGCTGTTCACAACACGTGGGAACCCATGTCCCCACTGGCTGCTCCCTCAAAACAAGCCTCCATTACTTGAGTGGGAATGGAATCTTTGGCCATTAAAAGAGGTGGCAGGAAATGCAGCATGAAGTGTGTCGCCCAATGTGTCCAGGTAAAGTTCCTAAAAACAGCCAATAAACGTCCTACCAGGCCACTGTGTCAGAAGAACTTGGCCCTGACAGTACGCTAAACTTCAGCACGAACTTCTCAGACTTACCTGCAGGCTGAGAGCTTCCAGGACTCTCGGGCATCTGGACACCTCTTACTGGCTGCCCTTCGGGGGCCTCTGTCCAGGATGACCATGGAAGTTCCTGAGCTGGGGACTCCCTCTCCCTCAGGGACACGCCATCCCTTTTCTCCAAGAACAACTTAGGACTCTCTGTCATGCAGGTTCTCAACTTTCATGATTGGAAAAACCTCTCTTAAAATACCTTTGTCTCCAACTTTACCTCAAACTAGCTTTGAGTTCCCAGAAGCTTATTACTTTGGACATGCACTAACAGGTGTGTGATTCCCACGGCTTTCCACAGGGATGGTTGTTCTGGAAACCGCACTGGCTTAGTATGCAAAAAATCTAGGGTCGTGGTTCTCGACTCTGGCTACAGATGAGAATTGCTTATCGAGATTTTTCTAAATAGATGTTGCTAAAAGCTCTTCCCTCCAGAGATTTCAGTTCCAATGTCTCTGGCCATGACTCTGCCACAGTTACTTGATGCCCTTAGGCACGTTTCCTTACCAGCCAACTTTGTGTCATCACCCTCCTCATCTCCCACAGATATGATTGTTAGGATGGAAGGGGTGGAGTACTGTAAGTTTTCCATAACCTGTAAAGCACGGGTTAAGATCTTGGGCCACCATTGCCGTCTTGTTTGTCTCCTTCCTTCCACATTCTATCCTGACTCCAGTTTTCTGCCTCTTCCCTCCACACCCCCAAGTATAGTATTTGGCAACCCCCAGACCCCCAAGATTACAGTCTGCCTTGCTTCCCTGGAGTACCCGGTCACAGGGCTAGGACAAATTTCTGAAAGATTTAATCCTCCTCGTGCCTCCAGGGAGACCTGTTCCTGTTCCGTCTCAGACGGTGGAGAACCTTCTTGGTTCTCAATACCTCAGACATAGGTATTCGGCATCCTGCCAGTGACACCATCTTTCTGCTCCTGTATGCCCACTGCAGAGCACTGGGGGGCTTTGCTGGGGCTCCCCTGCAGGTGACGTTGGGAAAGGTACAGTAAGGAACAGGACAGCTTGCTGCTTCCACTGTCATTCTCCTGCTGTTGCTTTATAAGGTTCTGGAACCTTCTCCCAGCACTGCCTCTTCCTCTCCCCCTTAACTGCCAAGGGCCAATCGAGAACTCCTCCTAGGGACTCATATAGGCAGGCACACCTGTGGTTTGAAATATTCTTTATTTTGTAAACATCTGTGTTTAAAATAGATGAACCCTGCTCACAATTCATATATTGGACCCAAGACACAGTACACGAAGTTCACCCATCACAGGGAGATGGTGGGGGCTTGGGAGCAGGTGGAAATGCCTGGGGCTGGGCTGAGTCTCGAGAGAGCAGGTGCAGAGGTGGTGAGGAGTAAACAGGCAGGAGCGCCTGCTCAACAGTCTGGGCCTACGGCCAGACCCCAGGCCACCCCCCCGGACTGGAGAAGTGTAGGGATGAGATGCCAACTCCCAATACCTAGTGAGCATAGCTGACCCTAGAGCTCCAACCCTCCCATACCTCTCCCCAGCTGTGGCCCTGGTGGGTGGGGCTCATCGGTGCATAAATCTCCACCCTGTGTTTTCCCTTCCAGAACCCCTAGGTACAGTAAAAATTAGTCCCTCTGTCCCGAGGGGGCTGGGAGAGAAAGGCAGTGGTGCTCTGCCTGATCTTCAGGGAATACTGCAACACGGGTCACAGGTTGGAGCCAGGACCCAGCACGTCTGCTTTCTGAAGCCCCTGGCTTCCCGAGGTCTGGCGTTACCATCGCCCCAGCCCTGGCATGATGCTGTGTCTTGCTTAACACCCGAGGAGTCAGGTCTCGAGGAAGCATCCCAGCCATAGTCATGACTTCATCCTAAAGAGTCTGCTATCTCAGTTTCTCATCAGCTAACAATTTATAACTATTCCCGCCCTCCTTTTCCTTCCACTGTTAGCCTGTCCCTGGTCCTACATCCTGAGCTACCCTCTCACACTCTGGTAAGAGTCAGAGGAAAGGTTTGGTGATTTCTTCCCCACCTTTTTTTTTTTTTTTTTTTTTTTTTTTGGAGTAATAAGGAAGTGGGGCTCTTAATCCTGCACATGTGTGTGCCCTGGACTTTGAAGCTCCATTGGTGAACGTTCAGGGCTCGAGTCTTTGTTTTAGCTCCAGCCCGAGCCATAAGATGCAGCTAACACATAACTTAAGAATGAGCCTCCAACGCCGGGCAGGTGGGGAGGAACCCCACTAGGCCCCATCACTGACTTGTCCCTTCTTTAAAGCGCCTCCCTCAAGCCACCTTTGGGCCATGTTGGGCTAAAGAAACTTCTTCCTGAACAAAGAGCTCTGGAGGAAGGAGTCGGCTTCCCTCCCTCCTCCTGCAGCCACAGTGCGGTTGGCTCCTCTTCAAGAAGATAGAGGGGCAAGATAAGCACTTTTTCTGGAAGGCTGAAGAGAACAGCACCAAGCATTTCTACCCAGGGCCTTCTTTCTCCCTCTCCAGGAAGACCCTGCCCTTCTCCCACAGACTTTCTCAGGAAAACCTTGAGCGCTGAAGGCTGGGTTTAGTGGTTACATCACCTTGCCAGGGGGTTGTGGGGAAATGCCTTTCCTACACAGAAAGGGAAGTTGCTCCCGTATTCCCCTCTGGTTTGCGAAATGCTGTCTCTGGCCTCCTCTCCCTGCCTTTCACCTGATATACAGGGGCTAGTCCTTCATTTCTAAACACTTCCCTTCCTGGGGTGTGTGGTTGGCTTGTCAACATCATTCCCACCCCCCTCCCCCCTTGCAGGCTTTCCTCGCCCCTGCAGTGCCCTGAGGCCTTGGTACATATCTTTAAATTCAGGAGCCCAGGTGGTGAGAAATGGTGTACACACTGCATGGGAGGTAGAGAATGGAGGTGACCTTTTGTCCCTGCCTCCCCTCAACATTTTTTTTTCTTCTCTGAAGCACCTGCTTCTGAGCTCACTTTCCCCAAAAGGCAGGTGGGCAGGCAGCCAAGCAAGGCCAAAGCTGGGGCGGGGGGGCGGTGGGCCAGGCAGGAAAAGGTGGGACAGCCCCAGTTTTGAGGACCACCAGTTTGGTCCTACTTTGATGTTCCACTTTCCCAGATCATGGATGGGGCAGGCCATGCCACAGGAAGGGACAGCGGGGAGGGGAAGAGGGGAAGAAGCACCCCATAGGCTTTGGCCCCTTCACAAAGCAGGGTGGGGTGTTCTCCCAGAAGAAGAGTATGGAACATCCCCATGAGCCTGAGTCCATTCCCTCGGACAGGGTTAGGAAGAAAGGAAAGAAAAAAGCTGCACTGGCAGCCACAGAGCAGGACAGAGAGGGAAAGAGGTGCGAGGGGCTTTGATACAGAACACACTGGAGGGGGGAAGGGCACAAGAAAGAGAAGTAGGAGGAAGAGAGGAAAAGCAGAGAGGAGACAAGATGCACTGAGAAAGAAGGAGCCTTAGAGTGGCCTCACTGCAGAAGGGGCCACTGTCTGGGGAGCCTGGGGCGGCAAGACAGCACCCGGAGCAGACCGGGGCTCGTGGCAGGCCTGCGGTGGGGAGCCCGGCAGAAGGGAGCCCCTCCAGGCTGGAGGGCAGGGGGCAGAGGCTGCTCCGAGATGACAGCGGGGCTGCTCTCGGGGCCAGGCAGGGGAGTAGCAGCTACTGGTATTCCACAGGGTCACCCGAGTGAGAGGAGAAGCAGGGCAAAGCCCGGACTCCCTGTCTGCCACAGGCCTCCTGTGGGGAGGGAGGGGTCGCTGGGTGCTCCACACACGACCCTCAGCACCAGCAGGCTTTCGAAGAGTTCGCTGGGCCCTCAGGTTTGCCCTCGTCCTCCTCCAGCTCGGCCAACGCCAACTCATGGCTGGCACGCGTCCTGAGACCATCCAGCTCCTTCCTGTGGGCCTGCAGCACCAGCTCCGTCAGCCGCGTGAAAGACTGCGAAACCACCGATGGCGGGTGAGCGGGCGCTGCAGCAGCCTCTTCCCCCTGCGGCCCTGTACCTGCCCCAGGACGAGGCCTCATCATGTGAACGGGGCTCACTCCCCCACCCCGGGCCGCCGCCTCCCCTCTTCCCTGCTCCCCTCTGCAACAATGGGCCACAGAGGCAGGGCAGCCGGGTTCAGGGCACTCACCTCTTTAATGTTGAGGTTGGTGCAGGCACTTGTTTCATAGAAGTCCATGCCATACTCCTTGGCCAGCTGCAAGAAAAGAACATTCCTGAAAGGGAGTCAGTAAGGGAAGGGAGGTGCCCACAGCAGCGGCCCGTATTTCTGCCATGGCCCTCACAGCCCATGCTCAGCTGCGACAACTTCTCACAGCAGGTCATGTCTCAGAAGCCCAGAAACGGGCCAGCCAAGAATGGAGAAGATGCTCCACAAAGCCCCGCGGTCCTGCAGACACGCCCCTGCCTGTGGCATGCACACGTCACACATCAGGAGGCAAAGGTCCCCCCAGTCTTGTGCAGGGTATGGAATTAATGAAAAACGTGGCTTTGGGGTCAAACAGACCCAGATGTAAACACCAATGCCCCACTCAGCAGCCATACGACCTTGGGCAAGTTACGGGCCTGCCGTCTGTTAAAGGGGGACCAGGGCGTCTCTCAACCAAGGTCAGGGAATGACTAAAACAAGTCCTGCATCTCAAAGCACTCGCTTAGCACCAGCCATCCACACAGTGCTCGATAAATACTATTCTAGGAGGGTTTATTCTGGTAGGGTTTGCATCTACTTTCAGATTTTTCAATGACCCTGTATTATTTTTGTATGCCAAAAATCTATTTTATTTCAAGTGCTATGGACGGAAAGAGGGAGAAAAAAGCTCTGGAGGCCCTCAGAGTGGGTGGATGGCTCTCGTCTCCATGGCACCCATCCTTCTGTCCTCTGGGAGGGTGATGTCCCTCGGCACCACCTTCCTGTCCTCACAGCCCCATGACTTTTCCAACCGTGGGGACTTCATTCCCTTATTTTCCTCCCTACCCCTTCCCAGTATAAAGACAGGGATGGGATCCCTGTACACAGTCGCCGTGCCTGGATGCTGCTGTGAAGTCAGTGACTTGGAGCCCTTCCTCACCATGACCACCGGGATGACCTCTTTAGCAGAGGGTAATCCTGCTATGGGGCCCTTAGAGCCAGGCGAGGGGCTGCGTGAGAGCTCTTTGTTCCAGGATAGGTCCCAAATCACTGTCCCAACAGACAGAAAGCAAACTCGCAAGGATGGCAACTCGCCCAGAGCTTCAGGGAACTGTGGGAGGTGCAGGGTGCCTGAGGACGAGGACGGAATCCTGGGTCCCAGAGCTCAGGGCTGGCCCAGGCAGCAGAAGACCCAAGGGATGGGCTTGGCCAGCTTGCTGTACTTACCTGCTGCCCCTGCTCCCTTCCCACCTGCCGCTTCTGCTCCTCATCAGCCTTATTCCCTATAAGGATCTTCTGGACACCTTCTGGTGCATACTGGGGACAGAGGACAGACAGAACTGCCAGTGAGTACTGCCTTTCCTCCCCAGCTTCCCACCACACCATCTCCTGGCCTCCACACCAGCCCCAAGCTCCAGAGCCCTAGGGACAGAGCAGGCCTATGGGGTCCAGGTGCGAGGCTGACCCCAGGGGGCTAGAGGGCTGTCACTGGGGACAGCTTAAGGGGGGAGACACTCCAGCTACAACTGGTACTTCCTGGGGTTAGACAAATGGGATCTGAACTGGCAAGGGCATTGCACTGAAGTCCAGTCTCCAGTTGAAAAACTGGGGACTCAGAAAGTTCACATCGCTTGCCCAAGGCTCCAGAACCAGGACTAGAATCCCAGTCTCATGATTCCTCCTGCTCTTGAGAGTTCAGGAAGGAAGACAGTCACAGGGTAGGCTCTGACCTAACTCATCTCCAAGGAAGAAGCAGCCATGGCGGCCTGGCGGGGCATAGATCATGGACGGTGTGGCAGCTTGGGCTTCTTCCCCATGTCTTACTCACCCAGAGGTCTCCATCCAGGGCTGGGAAAGGCAAGGTCTCCTGGGAGTGTTTGCTCACCAACCCTGAGAGCTTCAGCCCTTCCCAGCTGGCCCTCACTTTATCTTCCCCTCTGAGGCACCCTCCCCCACCCCAAAGGGGAGGCAGCGTCTCCTACCTCATCCACATCACTGACCCACTTCATGATGTGCTGGTAAGAGCGCTCGCTGCTAATGTCGTAGACTAAAAATATTCCCTGAGAGAGAGAGAAGGAGAGAGAGATGGGGTGTGGGGGTAGATGCACATAGAGATAGTGCACCGTCGAGGGTCCAGAAGCAGGTGTGGTACCTTAAAGGCTGGGTCCCATTCTCCCTTCTCCCTGCTTAGCAGAATGAGGCTCCCTCAGCACCCAGAAACTTCTCCTTCTCTCTCATCCCCCCAAAGCTATTGTGCCCTAGGCCTATCACAGAACTCTCTTCCGACTGGGGTCTTTGGCACAGGGTGAAGGGTGGCGGGTGGGGATGAGGTGGGGGGCTTGCCTGTGGTGTGTGCTCAGAGAATAACAGATGAACGCGTTTGTCTGAGGGCCCTGTTCTGGGAGTCGGTGGCCTACAGATCTCCAGCGCTTAGAGTTGGGAGTGTGGATGGCAGCGTCCCACCTCCAAACCCTGAGAATGGTGGCTTACCTGGGCCCGCCGATAGTACTGCTTCGTGATGGTCTGGTATCTCTCCTGCCCCGCCGTGTCCCTGCAATGGAAAGCCAGGCCATCAGGAGAGCAGGGAGCATGGGGCTAGAGGGAGACCCTGTGCCCTTGCAGGAAAAACTGGGGAGCTACAGGGTGAAAAATCAGGAGTTTTGATTCCCCAAAGGGGTCTGAACATCCCCGACCCTGCAGGAGACAGGCCTGGTTATCTGGGGCTGCCTGGCCTTACAGGGGCCTCATCAACTCTATCAGTGCTGGGAGTCTCAAATGAAACTGGGCCTTTGACACCTCTCTTTAGAACTGGGCCACTGTGTTCAAACAGGTTGGACTGCCTCACCTCCCGTCCCTGTGGGGCCTCTGAAGGCAAGGCCCATAGCATTCCCCAAACTGGAAGCAGCTGCAAAGGCTGGCAAAGGCTGCACTTCCAGAAACCTCAGGCCAGAGAGCCACAGCGGCCCCCCGTGGCGCCTGGTGGGAACTGCACCATGCCGTCCTGGGGAACATCTCCCCAGGGTCCATCCCAATGTGGGGTATAACCCTCCCTCCTGTGCACTGCGGCTGGGCCCAGGGGCAAAGCCTCATCCTAAAACAAACCAACACTCGTTGGTTTGCCAATTCCGTCTAGTTTCTGGCTTTTGGTGACTTGTGGTCAATCCCTGAAAGTTTCCTAAGGAAACAGGAGGCTGGAGTTGGAAGGGGCGGGGCAGCCCCATGTCTCTCCTCCTCCCCAACTCACCAAATCTGTATCCGCACTTTGATGCCATCTACCTCTATGGTCTTCATCTTAAAATCCACGCCTGGGGAAAGGAAGAGAGCAAGGAAGTTAGGAAGAGTACCGCTGAGACCGAACAGTGAAGGCTCCGGGCACTCACACTGGAAGGGACTGTCTATGACTTAATATGGCACAAAGATGGCATGAGGTAAAGGCCTTCTTAAGCCAAAGATTGGCCCTAGGGAAGTATCTGGGGCTTTGAATGGGGCTTCCCTTCTTCCTTGATCTGAGAATTGCCAGCAGTAAAGGGCAGGGGTGGGTAGAGGGGGTGCAGGAGGAGGGCAGAATGAGTACAGGGAATCCACACCATCACTGCCTTACTCAGCCCCCAAACGTGTCTCCTCCTCAGTGTGACATCTTCCTCTTTACACTGCTGGAGAGAACTACAGGTGTTTATTTATCTGCGATGGAACTCCAACCCCTAGGAACAGCAACCTACCTAGTTAGCCTGGGTGGTTTTTTTTTTTTTTCTTTCTCTGCCTTATTAATAACCAGGAGGAGATGTGCTGCTATCATGAATGAGGGGAAGGGACATGGATCCCGAAGAGGGTCCCTAGCAGAGGCCCACCAAGAGGGAGCAGTGGCTCTGTTGAATATCCCCCGTTTACTGGAGGAGGCACTGCTGTGTACTCATTTATTTAGAAAGAGCACGGGCTTTGAAGCCAGGCCTGAGCTCGAATCCTGACTCTGGCCACTTCGGTCATTGCTATGACTTTGGGCACCTTGCTTTTCTGGGCCTCCATTTCCTCATCTGTAAAAAGGGTACATCACCAATCATTTCAGAGGGTGGATGAGAAGACAAGGTGAAATACAGGGCCCAGCACCTGGGAGACTCAGTTGCCTGCAGTTACCACTATAACCTAGTACAGTCCCGGTCCGTCGTGGGTGCTTGTAAATGATGACCAGCGACTGGAGGATGAGGCAGTGACGCATTACACTCCTGGGGGAGGGAGGGGAGGACAGATAGGCTTCTCAGGCTCACGTGCCCAAGGGCTCGAGGAGCTCAGCTGCCACAAGACCCAGGAAACATAAGGCATTTGGCAAAGCAGCCCAAGGCAGAAACATATTTGGGGAAACGTGCAGGAGGAGTCAGCAGCACCCGCAGCACACAGGCTTGAATCTGAGTGATGACAGAGATGAGGGGAGACATTTTTATCACCACGCCTCTTCCCAGCCCCAACTGTGCCTGGGCACGGTGCCCGGTGATGCAAAAGCGCTATCGAGTAAGTTAATTAAGCTTAAGTCTTCGTGTACTCCCCAGAGACAGGTCAGGAATGGGCATCATTAACCAGTTTTCAGGTGGAGAACACGGTCAAGGCAGAGTTCTAGATGGACCGTAGTCACTAGGCTGCCCGGCACAGCCCCAAAGACCCACAGGTACCAGAGTCCCCAACACCACCACTATGCCACTCAGCATTAGCTCTTTACCAATGGGAACACTTCTCCCCTTCTCCCCGGCCTGTCCCCAGGCTTCCACAAATACAGATGGATTCAATTCAGACTTTTCCCTCTTCCCATCAAGACCAATCATCATTTAACTGGAGGGGAGAAAAAGATTCCGAACGGACAACCCAAACTAGATCAAGTTGGTCAGACGTGAATCATTTCTCGCCTGCCCAAGCTGATTCATAGCTCTTGAGCTGTACTTTTCCAGATGGGTAATGTCTGGCAGCCATTCTTCCGGGTGTGTGGAGAAAGCGAGGGTGGGGGCGCCGGGCCGGGGGGGGGGGCAGTGGCACACTCACCCCCCCCTCAGACAGCCAGTTGCCAAGAATGTGCTCCTCGCCATTGCTGGCATAGAAGGGAATCTGGAAATTCTTGTTTTTCATGGGACAGTGCTGGCTTCCCAGGAGAAACGGCAATTTGATTCATCTTCTAATCAACCTAGCTCATCCTCATACTAGTCCCTCAAGCCTGGTCAAGGACAGGGCCTTGTGCAGAGTGGTCACAAGGTAGCAGGGAGGGAAACAGAAGGTTCTACCTTCCTTTATTCCATACACTTCTATGAGAACTTACTCGGTGCAGACAGAGTGGCAGAAGGACAGAGGATCCCTGACCTTACAGAGATTAGTGGAAAGGAGACAAAGGCCCAGAGAGGTGAGATAACTAACCCAAGGTCAGCACAGCAAGTGGCAGAGATTTGAACACAGACCTGTTTGCTGGCAGAGCCCGTGCAACCCCCAGCATTGCTTCTCAGAGGGAATGAGAGCTGTGTAGTAACTAGGCATAGAGGACTTAACTATGCGGGCTTCTCTGCAGGTCCTGGAGCAAGGAGCAGCCAGGAAGGAGCTCCCAGCACCAGGGGGCTCGGGGCGACAATGTAAGCAGGTGTTAGAAGAGATAGCGCCTGGGAGTGAGCGCTGGGCTTGGATTCCTTCTCCCTCTTCCTTCACTTCTTAGCTGTGTGGCCAGGGACTGAGGTTGAGGGATTTGGGGGGGCCCACAGACCCCCACACCCATCCTCTTACAATTTAGGTCTTCCTGACCACCCAGTAACATCTGTGGAGCTTGGAGAAAATGCTTCCATTTTGGCTATTCATATGCACTAAAAAACAGTAAGTCTAGGCCTTTTGAGGGATTTTCCTCTCCCACCCACCTTTTCTTTCTTTCTTTCTTTCTTTCTTTCTTTCTTTCTTTTTCTTTCTTTCTTTCTTTCTTAAAGATTTTATTTATTTATTTGACAGAGAGAGAAGGACAGCACAAGCGGGGGAGCCACAGAGACAAAGGGAGAAGCAGGCTCTCTGCTGGGCAGGGAGCCTGATGCGGCTCGATCCCAGGACCCTGAGGTCATGACCTGAGCCGAAGGCAGATGCTTAACCAACCACCGGGTTGTGCCCCCACATTTTTTTAATAAATAAAAAAGATGAAGAGCCCAGTGATCTTGTAGTGGACTCTTCTTTCTATTCTCCCTGGTCCCATAGCCTGGACCTTCCACTGTGTCCACCGTCTACTCCACAGTCGGTCATGCCTGTGCCCACCCATCACCCCTCCATCCCCCTGTGTGGCTGTTAGTTTTCTCTGCTGCTGAGTACTGCAGGACAGTCAAAATACTGGCCTGGTTGGTCATCCACAGACTTCTGCTTTCCCACCTCAGTGGGGCCCTTGTAGCAGCTGGTACCCTATTTATAGGAGCTGTGTCCCCCCATCCGCTTCCCCACAGCCACTGTCCCCTCGCTGAAGGCTTCGGCCCCTGTGTGCCCCCTCCTCAATGCCACTCACTCAACAGAACTCCTTCTCCAATCTCTAGGGGTGAGCCAAATGCTGCCTGATGAAGCCATTCCTGAGGCTTACCTCATTTCCTCAGCTCTCAGCTCATCATCAGCCCCCTCTGGGTGCTCGTCCTAACAGTCTGGCCCCTTCCTGCTCATCTCCAAACTCTATGGCGGGGAGAGATACTCTCCTCCCACCTCCATCCCTGCATGTTCTCATTCTGGCTCCCCCAGGGACTGGCGGCATCAACATCATCAAGGAGCATGCTAGAAAAGCCATTCTCCAGGTCCACCCAGGCTGAAGGCTGAGAACCACTGTCTAGCCCATCCCGATGCTGAACCACACCCAATCTACGATCCTTATAATGATATTTGTAGAACACCCCTTAGCTAAGGGATCCAGAGCCTTCAGTTCTCGTGCCAGCCCTGTGAAGCAGGGAAGAGTGGTGACAGCTACTAGAGGCACAGAGAGGCTGGCTAACTGCCTCCTGCTCCCTCACCCAGTGGCTGAACCAGACCTGGAGGACTGGGCTCCTGACAGCTACCCAGGGTACCGCCCCCTGGACCAGCGGCTGCGGAATCTTACTGCCCTTCCTGTCACACTCTGACATACCCCATACCATTCTGCTCTGATGAGGCATCTAGAAGTGAGGTCCTGGGCACTCAGGGAGCAAGCCCACCATTAGCTAGTTTCAGGGGACCCCTTGCTCCCTGAGGTAAGAATTTCCCTCAGCCTTGCACAGAGCCATACCACTGTCCCCAGGCGCAGGGGACATTGTGGTGCGAAGAAACAAGCTCACCCCCTCCACACCACTCCAGCAGACGTTCCTGAAGACGTGGGGATTCCTGGGGGAGAAAGTCCAGAAGAGAGGGCCCTCTGCCAACCAAGAACCGAAAGCACAGTGAGAAGCTCACCACTTTTCTCCTCAGATGGGCCAGTCATGGTGTCTGCCACACCTGGTGTCCTCTTCTGGCTGGAGCTGCCCGGCCCAGAGCTTCTGCTCAGGGAAGCAGGGCTGGGTACAGTGTGTTCTCTGTGGGGAAGCAGCTCCTAACTGGACCAGAGGGGGACATCTGACCAAAGGAGGCTGGTCCATCAGTGGGCTTGCTGGGGACCCCAAGGTGACCCGGCCAACATGGGCAAGGGGATCTAGCTAAGCCGATCAAATCAGCTCCCTCCGGATGGTGCTGAAGGGATTGGTCAGCTGGTAACAAGAGGAACACGGGCAGATGTGTGGAGAAGCAGAGATGCCTGAAGACAGAACACACTGGCCAGAGTCGGGGCTGGGAGCGCTGGATCCTGGCATAGATCCCACCTCCCAGCTCATGGGTATCCTCAGAGCACACCTGCCTTCCCGAGTGAAGCCTGAAGGTGCCTCGGGACTGCCTGAAGATCCACAGTCTGGGTCTGTCCCCTGCTGCCTAATATCCCCCACCATGTCCCCCTCCACCACAGATGTTTCAACTGTGGGGCTGGGAGGGAAACTCCCCCAAATTCCCTGCTCGTTGCTGCCTCCTAGTTTTTGTCTTCTAGCCCCAACTGGATGTAAAGGACCTAAGGGCTAGAAAGTATATTTTGTATTTGACAATATTTTTTGTTTTGAAAGTCTCTGCCTCCGACCCCACAGAGTGCCGGACATAGAGCCGCTATTCCATCAGTGGCCCAGAGCCCATGAGGAGGATGGGCACCCGTGGGACGAGTGTCTTGCCATGTGAATGCCTCACAAACATCGGCAAGAAAAGTTCCTCAGTGAAATGCCTCCTGCCTTGGGCTGTGGACAGTGCTGCCCTCAGGCTCTTCGTGTCCCTGTCTCAG